ATTGGTAGCGGAGCCGTTAAGGCCCGTTTAACCGCGAGGACCTTCCCGTCCCGGGCCTGGGGGAGCCCTAAATTCCACCCGTGAAATTCGTCAATCCCGCACCTGCCCTTTGAATCGGACATTATGTCCGTAGCAGGTCTACGCTTCCAGCGATACAGCGGAAGCAACACGGCTCCACAGGAGACCCGTTCGGGCTCCTATATCTACAGTGGAGACCCAGCAAGCTTCCATGACTGGGAGTTTAGGACGCGTATGCGCCTAAGGTTGTACGAAGACGCCGTCAAGGCGAAGTCTCGTAAAACCTCTAAGTCTGGAAGTGAGGTGGAAGCCCCGTCGGACTCAGGAGAGGAGCCGGCGAGTGGCGCCGAGCAGGAGGCATCCGTCCCTGCCGGAGAAACACAGCCGGCCGATGAACCCCCGACCCCTTCGGAGGCGGGGATAGGCCGAGGCAAGGGTGCAGGTTCCAAAACCCGTTCACAAAAGGGTTTGGTATTGTCTCAAGCCGTGGTAATGGCTGAGGCAGAAAGCACCCCCTACGCCGTCAAACTGCGCACTGAGATGGTGCACCGGGTTCTCGAAGGACTTCGTGACGAAGCCTTTGAGTTGGCAAGAGACATCGGTATCGAGTCTCTAACAGGACCTGGCGGCCTGGACGACTTCATCAATCGCATGCGCGAGGTGGTATTCCCGCGCGCGACGGAGGAAGCGCGAGAGCTATTCCGCGCTGGGCAACGCCAGGGAACATTGGCACGCCAAGCTGGAGAGTCTATGCTCTCCTACGTCAGCCGTAGGCGACGTTGGTGGAAACTGCTGAAGACCTTGGATTCCAGCATCGAGCTATCAGAGCCGATGCGTGTGGAACTGCTGTTAGAGCTGTCAGGCCTAACACGGCAGGAGTCTTTGGTGATCAAGGCCTGTGCCCAGGACATCAAATCCTTCGAGTCCGTGGCTAGGACCTTGATAGAGAACTACTCTGGCGTACACCTGCGTGAGGGCCGTACTCTTGGAGGCGGAACTCAAGGTAACACCGCTCGGACTCCCTGGAACCGACGCCAGGGTACCTCTAAAGGACCCTCGAGCAAGAGTAGTGGCAAGGGATTTACTCGTAGAGCTTATCCCGCCATTGAGGAGGATGAAGAGTATGATGAGGAGGAGTACCCGGAGGAGGATTCCTATTCCTATTACCCTGAGGCCTATCCGGCTATGGGAGGCCACGATGATGACAATGATCCCGACCAGGATCCTGATGAGGACCTGGATGAGGAGTTTGAGGACTACGAGTTAGACGAGTCCGAAGCTACTGCCCTCAATGCCATGGAAGAGCTGGAAGACTCATCCGAAGGTGGACATGCAATCCAGCTTATGCTGGCTGCTAACGCTGCCTTTGGCAAGGCCCGTGGCAAGAACAAGGGCAAGAGCAAGGGCAAGGGAAAAGGAAAGGGCAAGGTTGTCCGCTCCAACTTGACCCTGGAGCAGCGTCGTGACAAGCTGCGCGCCCTCAAGGCTAAGTCCAAGTGCTTACGCTGCGGCGGCACTGGACACTGGGCTGGCGATCCTGAGTGCAAGTTTCCCACCAATCAAGGGGGAAAGGGAGCTCCCGTGAAGCGTCAAGCTCACGTGGCTCTCATTCAAGGGTCAGCAAGTGACGGCATCCATGTTGGAGCCGGAGCCCCGGGAGTAGGTTTCGTTGTGGACGCTAATCCTCAACCACTCCCTCCAAATCCCAAGGCCCTGGCGACCGCGAAGGCGAAGCCTGGATCATCCTATGGGAGATCCTCAGCTTCGACCGCTGTAGCGGCGCCCCCCGGACCAATGGAAATGGCCGGAGGAGACAGGAAGTTCTACCTTGGACAGCACAAGGGGAAGACGTTCGAACAAGTCTCCCATGACACTGCCTACGTCAGGTGGGCGAAGTCACAAGCGGATCCATCTAACCAGCTGAAGGACTTCCTGACCTGGTTCGACCGCTACTACCTGCTGACGGATGGAGATTCCACCGCCGAGCTGAGAGCTTCTCTAGGTATCCCTCCCGGAACCTATGAGCCGAGACCCAAGAAGAAGGGCCCGGCGAAGAAACCTCCAAACCCCCCTTTGGAGGAGAAGTGTCGAAACTGCAAGGACTTCACCTATTTGGGAAGTTCAGTGCACCATGTCCGTATGACCTGTCGAGATTGCGGGCATATGACACAGAAGAAGCGCGAAGAGACACGTACTCATGACCCGGAGACGTGTCCCCATACTGTCCTGGACAGACGCGGCAGTTCGAGGAGTGTCTCCCGAACCTTTTGCAGACAATGTGGGACATTCGTTGACGAAGTCCCCGCCGAGTTCCAGAAGCAGCGCCGCGATGCGGCAACAAGTGTGCTGAACGCTTCGGCGGACGTCATTGACACCGTTGGTGCATTGACAGCGGAAGATGCTTCGGCAGACCTGGACCCGGCTGTCGTAGAATCGATCATGGGACGATTCAACGAGATTGTCGTTGATGCGACTCTGAGCGGAGAGCGCATCAACCCAGTCTCTCTCCACCGCTCACTGCGAGAGGCAGTGGTGAGCGTAATGGAAGAGCCCCCAGGTTCACCGGACTCGTGGCAGCCGGTGGCCATGATGGGCCTGGTACATTCTCGCGGCGAGAGCCCGGAAGGCCGCCAAATTCGGATTGAGGACGCTAGGCCCAATTCGTCCTGGCCCGCTATCCGCGCGTGGCCGCAGATTGTGAGATCATTACTGGCTCACAATCGGGAGCAAATGCTCGATATCACCCTTGAGGCGTTACGAACCCAAGGGGCTGATGCAGTCGACGAGGCATTAACCCGTCGGGAGAGGCAACAGTACTACGAGTATTTCGAGTACTTTACGCCTCGAGCAGTAAGGGTCAACGAAGCCTTTCGTGACCATGGCGTCGACTACGACGAATGGGTGATCCGGAACTGGAGGCAGAATGGTCGGATCAACCCAGAAGACCTCGACTCTGATGA